ACGGGTCTCCCGCGGTAGGCTAACAACTGCTGCTAGCCTGCTACTATGTTGTTCATGGAGATGTAGGCACAAACACATGAACACAAAAGATATAGTTTGCATGCACTAACCTGCTGAAAATAAAGGTCCCGTATTTCTTCAGCTCGAACTGGATCCCCCTGTTCCTCCTCTAGTGCCGCCCATGTCAGCCATGTCACCTCACTCTGAGAATTGATGTTCAGCGAAGACCTCAACAATCTTCTGGCAGCAGTGTAGTTACCCACACGCTGTTCTAGGACTCCCCAAGCCTATAAAAGTAGTGCTCATAATTTAATGGTATGAGATAGTAAACGGAATAATAGCCGACATTAGGAGCTAATCTTCAAATTGCTAGAATGATGCAGTTTGAGCCTTCAAATCATGGATACAACATATGCTTCACACATACGAGCAAGCAGTCAAGTTGGACTATTTCATCAAATCAAACTGTATATATTCGATGGTGTGTGAGACAAAAAGGTATAACAAACACTTAGACAAAGTATCAGATTTTGTTCAAGTGATATTCTTTACCTGAAGACAACGAGCAGCACATTCATTTGTTGAATTAACTGACAAGGCTCTTTGATAGAGTGACCTTGCAGTTCTCTCATTTCCTTCTTTCCACTCCATCCAACCCCAAGCCTATAACATGAAATGCTAAGTTTCAAAGATAACCTAATACTGTAAAGAAAACAGTCCATAAGCAAGTAGCCATGTCAATTAGCTGGAAATAAAAAGCACATCTAAATGTTGAATGCAAAGTGGTACTCTTGTATATTTCGTTCCTGATTTTGGTAGAAACATCTGTCCTTCTAGTTGTTCATATCCAATCTTTTTTACTTCAATGTGACCAACAACATGCAAAACCTACAGATATTCCTGTGACCATATATCTGGTTCGATCCCTAGGCGTGCAGGTGTGTGTTCGCATTAGTAGAATAGCATGTGCCCACGTTAAGTGAAGCCGGTAAGATGTGTGAGCATCATGGGGTGTGGTGTGTGTGAGTTTATGTGTCTTGCTTGTACTCTCTGAAAAAAGAGAAAATGCAACACCTTCCATGGTGGAAGGTAGGTAATATATCTAATTGCACCCAAAAAGTAAACTCTACAGAAACTCAAAATATATCACTCAAGATCTTAAAGAACACTGGCTAAATAATCTAAACTCTGAAGGTGAAAGAAGGATATAGAGCACAACACAGAAGTACTAACAAAAGGGAAGGCATATTCTGAACTCAAGGGATGCACTGAATATTCCGTGAACCTTTCCATTCCCAAATGATTCGATTGTATATTTGCATACTGAATAACTAGGACTTGCAAGTTGCAGCTCTACTGTAAGAGGCACTACAACAAAGTAATGTCGGAAACTGAAAAATTGTATCTCCAGACAGAGGAAAAAGAACATTAAGAAAAGGCGTACAGACCAACTGCAAATGAAGTAAAGCAAACCGCATGGAGCTTAAATGGTCAGATTAATAAAAGAGGTAAGTGCAGAAATACTTACTATCCAAACTGGTTGGTGCCTTGGATCAATCTGAGATGCCTTTCTAAATAATACACGGGCAACATTTGGAGATGCACAATTGTATTCCAGCAGTGCAAGTGACTGTAGAATTACAGGGTCCCTAGGGTTCACAGCATGGCCAATCTTAAGTAACTTCCTTGCTTTGTCAGTGTTACCTTGATTGGCCTCAAAGAGTGCCCAAACATGCCACGAAAATCTGTTCTTGGGACTAGCCTGGACAGCTTTCTGCACAGGAAAACCGAAGTTACTTTCTGCCAAGAAACTTGATTTTCTTTCAAGGAATGTGATAAATAATACGAGGAACTATCACATGCAGATGTGAACCAATAGCACCATAGTATGACCCTAGCATTGTATTATAGTGGAATAACTGAAACCGATATAGTTACTAGTAGAGCAGATCTTCCAACAAAAACCAGACAAATAAAGGGTGAATCTACAATAATTCCATCGCTACTTGGAATTTCTTTCTACTTCACACTACCCATTAAGACAAAAAAACCTCTGAAGATACGTGAACATGAGGAAATGGATGAACAAGCCTTAGAAAATTACAAGTATGAGAACCAAACCAGTAAAAACCATCAATGGGAAGTATGATTGTCTAAGTATTACCTCAAAGAGCTTCCTCGCAATGACATTGTTTTCTGCACGCATTTCTACCTGAGCCCAAGACTACTAGAAAATTGTCATACATAAGTTCACAGTTCAACACAAAATACAGCTTGAAATTTCTTTTTATGCAGTAAACAGAAAACTATGAAGCAAATACTTACTAGCCAACTTGCACAACTTTTTGGATTGCATTGAGTAGCTAGCTGGAATAAAGTCCGTGCTTGTTCAAAGCGCTCTGCTCTAGCTTCAAGCAAAGCAAGAGTCTGGTAAATGTACTCATTTCCTCCACAATATTTCAGACCTTTTGCAAGTAGGTTCCGAGCCTTTTTTATGTTTCCTTGTTTGATTTCTAAAATTGCCCACCCATGCCAAGCTGCAATGTGCTTTGCATCAGCCACAGTAGCAGCATCAAATAGCTCTCGTGCTCTTCGAATACTCCCACCCTTGCTTTCTAGCACTGCCCAGCACTGTAATCCAAGCAAAAGGAAAACCATGACTTCTGCATGTTTTATTGGATTTCTCACTAGATGACGTAATTTCTAGATATGTCAAACATACACACTGGGGTCAATGTGCAAGATAGTTCCAGCTGGGCACATCACACAGGATTCAATCAAAAATCTCGAATGACTTCCTACATTTTCTACCAGATCGTAACAATATTTCAAGAAATTATGTTCTGACATAAATAACATGTGTAAATGAAAGCTAAATAGTAAAAAGATTGACCCTTATAGGTGCTCCCAGTGTGTTCTTTTTCGTTTGAGAAACACCGAGTATAACATATAGACGAACGAGTTATAGTTAAACATAGTCAAATCCACACATGGCATATTAACAAAAAAAATTACACTTGGTATATTAAGATATTGTTAAGATAACCGTATGGGCATTATTTATGTTGACACGTAAGCCTCTAGAGGATGAACCACATGCCCTGCATTGCTGACGTGGTATAAATTTTCTACTAGTCGGTTTAGAAGTGAGGTGATGACGTGCAAACCTGCCAAATGTATGGATTTTCTCCCTGTGTGGCTTGGCAGCCCCTTTCATAAGCCGCTCTAGCTTTGTCAAACCTCGACTGTTTGCTATATAGCTTCCCAAGCGCGACGTATGGGCGCCCGTCTTCAGGCCAATACAACATGCACTGGATCAGAAACCGATCGTCAGCTTAGAGCAACCAAACAATTAGACACTTGATGATTCTATATAAACAATAATGGAGTAGCATTTTAGAGCACAATGCAGCCTCATTATCTCTTGTTGTGTTTCAGTGAGATGTCATACTATTATGTTGGATGCATTGAACTCTGTGCTGTAGGTGCGCACCTTGTTGAGGAGCTTCTCGGCTTCCGCGAACTCGTACTTCCTGGTGTGCACCTTGGCGCGGTGGAGCCAGAGCTCGAGGTTGATGGGCAGCGGGCGCTCAGCCGTGGCGGCGGGCTCGCCCATGGCGGGCTCGAAGAGCGGGACCTTCTTCGCAATCTCCTCCATTCTCCTGTCGAAGGGGCCCTCCCCGTCCCGCTCGGGCCCTCCCCCTGCCGCGGCAGCGGGCCTCCCGCGGCGTAGGCGGAGGAAGAAGAGCGCGGCGGCGGATGAGGCCTTGGTGGTGGCAGGGCCCGGGAGGGGCGGGGGAGGCGGCGAGGACGAGAAGAGCCGCATCGCCATGGCGCTGGAGCGCGACGCGGTGCTCTGGTCGGAGCAGCGAAGCAGGTGAGGCCGAGGCGTGGCTTTGTGAGGGAGGGGGTGTGGAGTTTACGGGATTGCCCACGCGCGTGCGGTGGTGTTGACGCCGTGGGCGGGGCTGCGGGGGCAGAAGCGGGAGGCGGGGATGGGGGAGGCCGTTGGAGAGGCCCGGAGCGCGCCACGTCGCCGGGCAGGGAAGGTCAGTGTTTTTTGAGTTTCACCGGACCGGCAAAACCTCTCGGGACGAGTGCTTCGCCTCGGCGTGCGATTGGACACGAGGCGGGATGCCCGTCTCCTGTTTTCCAAGGAAAAGAGAAGCGTCCCGTTCCTGCCTGTGATTGTCACCGGGGATGTACCATGAAACTATCAACATATCTTTCTTTCTCTTTTTGTCTTTTGAAATGATCAACATCTCATTTTTGACACGCTGCGAGAGATATCACCAGTCCTGAGTTGAAAAACAATAACTTGCAGGTATGAATATGGATGATATTTTTTTACTCAAGCGATCTTTGCGGCTTTGCCATGGTTACGGAGCAATCCACGCAAAATAAACCAGCATAACACTCGTTTAGGCTGCCAGTACAGCTTAATAAGCACATGAAGCAACATAACCGCGGCAAAAACCATACTCTACTTTTAAAAACACACTGCAGTTAGGAGCCCAAGGAATGCATGCAAAAAACACAACCAAGACATGAAGCAGGCATACGGCAGCACACTACGACAACTCCGCAACCAACAGAGCGACACTATGTCCATATGTAGAGACCACGGCCAAATATACCCAAGAGAGATAGTGTCAGAATTCCCCGCGCAGCAAAAAAAAGGAAAGGGAAAAAAAGAAGTAACCCTCTCCTGAGGAAAGACGAGCAGATGTTCAGTCTGATGCCGTTGATCTTATTAGCTGACTGCTCTGACAAAAATGTTGAAACTGTAGGTCAATTACAACTGCAATATGTGAATGCTTTTGTACATTCTGTTTCCTGTTCCAAGCATCAAAACATATTCAATCTACAGTGTCTCAACCTGAATCGCTAGATGACAGCGGCATCTAGTTCATCAAAAACATTGGCACTTTGGCTCCTCCCAAGTACCATAAGTCGATATTTCGGCACAAAATATGCCTGACTCACGGTTAGTTCAGCATCTAACCATTGCCGCCCCAACGACGTTTCCTTGCAGGTCGCTGATTCTTGACATCGTCCGCACCACACGCAACTGCTAACAGTTCATCCTTGCCATTGTCTTGCTCCTTTTGGGTAACAGTAACAGCTTCTTTGAACCTCTCCCTTCTCTTCTGCATCTTTTCCATTACCTTAAGTATGTGTTTCTCGTCGCATTCCCTTGTAGCTCCATTGTCGCAAATATCTTTTGAGGTTGCATTAATCATCTCTAACTGACCGCCTGAGCTTGCTTCAATCACTGATTTCAATGCTGTGTTTCTTGGCTTGTTAGGTTTTCTGTTTGGAGCAGTTTCCTGATGGTCCTCTTCAATCACTTCTCCCTCCTCAATCTCATCTTCTTCCTTGGTAGTTTGGCGTCTTTGGTTTGTTGTTTTCTCCAAGCCCTGGCAGACTGACTGATAGTAACTTCTATTCAGTTTCACCTTCTGTGCTTTCTGATGTACATCCTTGTGTTTGGAACTGTGCAAATTCTTGTCTGCAGGAAGACATCCCTCATTGTCACTTTCAACTCGCCTTATCTCATTGCCTTGGAGCTTAAACTGCAATAAATGACAATATAGCATTGAGGAACAAAAGTCCACAGATGGTGAGAGCATGCATGCAAGAAAAATAAGGTAAAAAGGTGCACATCGACTTGTACTGAAATGGCAAACACAAATAGTGCGAGAAATTGTATTCCTGTTCCATTGTTGGGTAAACAACTGCTCTTAAAGCTTTGACAGTTACTCCTTGTCACTAATACACAATGTGTAGTAGAAGCAAAGGACCGGGACACAAGAATCAGCAGCAATTTAGCATTGACAGTTAAGATTCTACAATGATGGCCATGTTAACAAAGCACCAGAAATAGGCATACAGAGAGAAAAATAAGTCCATTATAAACCCTCCGGTTTGATGTGTGCTCATACTTTCAGTCCCTAAATTCAGGACCCTGAACTTCCTAATACGAACCAACTTAGACAGCTTGTTTGGCACACAGGGAAAAGGGTGATGCTTGCCAAACAGTGAGTCCCAAACATTTACTCGTGGATACACTATGTCCCCTCCTTGCTCATCACCCTCCTTCAATCAATCGCACAATTCTGCACTTGTGGTGCCACCTCGATGTGAGAATGATGCAACCACCGCCATTGTGGCCTTGAGTGCCACTTAACGCGCGCTCCGCCCCGAGCAACGTCACAGGTGGACTCTGCACACTGACCCCACCCCCTTTTTTGGCATCCCTCACTTCGGCTGGTGGCATGAGAAGAGAAGGAGAAAAGTATAAAGTGTTGGTGGTATGGGAAGATAGGGGCAATGTTGGTATTCTCTTTAGAAAAAATGGCATTGAAGGCTGATCAAATCCGGTCTACTGGGCAGTAATGGGCTCCAATGCAGCTAAACACCCAAAAAGGAAGCAAGGGATTGGTTGTTAAGGTTCGGGGTTACAAATTCTGGGCTTTAGACTTCGGGGTTACAAATATCTGGGCTCTAGACATCGGAGTTCATTTCAAACTGAAAAATGAACTTCAGGGTTTAAATGGACTGTTTACTAAGCAACAATAATTGTCAATTTTCTACTCCATTTAAATGGACATCTGATAAGATAATTGGTTAAATGGATTATTGTTGCTGTATTACTTCGGGGTTTAAATGGATTGTTACCGGGGCACATCTGTCGCATTTTCTACTTCAGTGTGCCCCGGTAACTTCCGTATACTGTATTACTTCAGGGTTTAAATGGATTGTTTAAATGGAGTAGTAGTTACCGGGGCACATCAAACATCTGATAAGATAATATCGTAATACAGTATACGGAAGTTACAGATAAAACTTGGTAAACTTACAACACGACCTAAAAGAAATATATTCCTATCCTATTCTTCAGCAACCAGTAGGATTACTTATAGGATATTAGCTGCTAAATTAAGTGTCTGAGAGATCAATATTTGGTGATGCAGCACTGCTTTACAAAAAGAAACAACAAATATATATTATAACTAAGTGTTTCCTCTAAGTATAAATATTAAGCAAAATATACAGGCGCAGAAAGAATTAATGCTTTCTACCAGTAACTGCATGTGTTAAGTCAGCCGGATATAAACCATGTACTATCATTTTTATGGACATGAACATGTTCTTAATCTATACTACGGATTGAAAATATGAACCTGAACATAAATGTAAATTACAAGTAGCAAAGTTCTGGCTATTTTATTGATAAGATAAATCATACTCCCTCTGTAAACTTTTATAAGACGTCTTAGATCACTAAAGTAAATACGAAGAGATAATTACTTAAGACATAATATCCTATTGCTTAACCATCCATGTGTCTTTTTTCCCTGACGAGGAAAACCAATTGAACTGGACGAACTACTGTGGGTGTTCCCCATTTACACCTAATTAATCTAAAACATTTCTACTGGGGGATCCAGAAGGTATATATACACCTCACCACAAGCAGTAACTGGGAATATTCACAAAAATAACTAGTACAAACAAATTATGTAAGAGAAAAGGCGATTATTCCAATGAACTATTAAAAGTATATGGAGAAGGGCAGCAGAAAAATTCCTAGAATATAAAAAAAATAAAAAGAAAGAAGAGGAGACACAGCCTGAACTGAGCTCAAATTGGTTTATCAAATTAAACATGCAGCAAAACATAGAATATTTCTAAGAGTCCTATTGAGCATCTAATTTTGACCTATATTATTTTAAAATGAAGACCAAAAGGAACGTCAATACCACAACATTGTCAGGAAACCCTTTTCTCTCAGCATGTCATGTTAGAATTTAAAACCCAAGCTTTCATATACATCAGCGCATACTTCAGAGATTTCATTGGAGTTATTGGTGTTCCAATAACAAACTCGAGTAGTTTGACTGCAATCTTGCTCAATCAAAATATCAAAACATGATAGTCACAGCATATACATGAATTTCCAGTCAGTAATCAGTGTGCACTGGAACCTGCCATGGATTGATGATATGTAGCATAATCATTTGAATCTCGTTAAATTCCGAATTTGAGAATCTAGCAAGAAAAAACTATATTTATTCTCATGTTACTTGATATACTTGGCAAATGAAACCAATCAGCATTATAGCAATGTGTAATGTGTGTTAACTCAGACCTTATTGAGTTGCAATAGATTTATACATTAAGTAAAGGCATACTTAAGTGTAATTAGGCATTATATTAGACCCTCGGGAGATAAAATCATGTGGCATCAAATCAAGATACTAGTGAGGACACTTGTATGAGCACGATAGTTACGAGTGGGTGCCTTTGTACTGACTCGGTGACACAGTCAATCTGCCCCTATGGGATAGTAAATGCTACTATCAACAACAGAAAAATTAACAGGGATATGCCAGATGATAGTAAAAGGATTAGTTGAAAGTAAAGTACAGCACTAGTTTAAAAGGCTATCCACTTGAATACTGAATGTGCAGTCAGAGCTCAATAGAGAGCAAAATAAGATTAAACCATAATAATCTCCAAATGTCACCAAAACTGACAACACATTAACAGTTTGAGTTATTAAGATCTGAGAGGATATCCGAATAAAATGTATGACGTCATGTAAGAATCGAACAATGTCTCACCTCAGGCCTCAGAGCAGAAATGTAAATTGATTTAAGATTATCTTTTATGGGAAAAAATATACAAAAAATGTACAATAGTCAATCCCTAAGAAGAAATGAATTTGGGATCAGTTCAATGGTTATTGTAATTTAACTGGAAATGACAAGTTGGAATTTTAGTTGTAGTACATTTTACTGAGTTCATCAATGGTCAGACATACAAACCAAACCAGGTACAATATTCTCATGATGAAAATAAGTACATAGGGAGGAAAACTGTCACTTCTTGAGCTTGGATCTATCAAATTTCAAATACTTGACATGAACAAGCCAGTCAAAAAGTCCAAAGCACTAGTATGCTGACATTAGGTCCTTGGCACACGTTGGACACCAAACACTTCAGCCAGCAACGATGATGTTACATATTCACAGCACACACTAGGTCACTATTATTTAAAAACAAACCTACCAGCCAACATAGAACGCACACACAGACAAACATCATCACAAAAAAATAGCACAAATGTACAGCACATAGACCTCTATAGTTGTATTTAAAATATCTATATAAATTGCTTGCTAAGCAACCTAGCATGTATTAATACAAGAACACAATCTACAAAGTACGAATGCGCAGAACTTCAACCCATGTATTTCACCGTCACTGTGTTGGCACATCATGAAATTGTGTATCTCCATGTGCATACCATGTCCTGCTACTGTAAGATCCAAGTACTGTGACTGACTAGAAGCAGAGGATTCCAGGCATCATATGTGTTGAAGATACTATAGTAGAAGAGAAATTGGCATTTCATTGACCATGTGCGACAGTGGTGCAAATTAATACAATCACTCATTGGAGATAAGTATGCAGATGCCAGAGCAGGCTATAATCTCAGCAGTGGAAAAGAAGCTAACACTACCTTGTGAGCGTACATTAAAGTGCGAGAAGATTATTAAACAGCAAGAGAATAGCATCAGATATTGTTAAGTATGTGTCCATGGCTATCCTCTAGAGAGTAGTTATCCCGATACACGCCCTAGTTCAGAAATACCAATCAAAATGTTGATAATATGGACAAACGCTAACCCGTAAACAACAAAAATCCAGAATCCTGTTAAGTTATTTCAGGCCTTGTTTACAGACATGGAGCAGCTATATCTGACCGATATCCAAGTTGGTTTAAAATTGACACCAAACTTTGGTAGGATCCCACTAGAGACCAGACCATCTAAAGAAACAGCTTACCAAAGGAGAGTGTGCATTGTTCTGGAAGTGCGTAAATGCCCCTAAAAGATAAAAACATAAATTTCAAAGAAAACTGAGGAGTTGCAAATTCCACCACCATACTGAGCTATGTGCAATTCAGTTTTGAGCAGCATAAAGCCCCACTCCTTTTCTTCCCTTTTTATGTGCACATATGTGCTGGTTGAAATCACCCTCTTGCCACAATAAGAACTTAAGGAAAAAGATATATTGAATATTATATATGCGTACAACATTTCTGATTTTATCTCCTCAAAGTTTACCTTTCTTTTCCTATCATTCAAGCGGATGCTAGCTGTGTCCTTGGGCTGAATATTCATGTGCTCATGCCTTCTTTCATCGTGAATGTTTGAAATAGTATTACTATCTCTCATATCACTGAAACTATAAATGGCTTCTCTAACAGTTTCCTTTGGAGAATTGTGCATCTCCACAGCATAAAGCTTCCTATCACTGATCATGAATTGGTCATGCTTCAGTCTTCTCCCTTTTGAAATTGCTATGCCGAGAAGATCTTTACGGCTCATCGAACCCAGACCAGCATGGAGCTTCCTCTTGACTGGAAGAATACCATAACCAGTCTCACAGGGGGCAGCAGTGAATGAAACAGATTGTTGAATGTTGTCAATGTGAGCTGAAGAATTATGGTGCTTGTTATTTTGATAGTATTCATCATGATGATATTGCATGAATTTGGCATTTCGACTGTTTCTTGAGCTCAAGGAAGTTAAACCAGGAGAAGGCCAGTTTCTCTCAGGATTCTTGGGGTAGTCATTTGCCCGAGGAGGCGAAACGAAGTGGTAAGGATGTCTCCAATGTTCATCACTGCTTTCTGCAGATCTTCTGCTTTGATACTTTCGTCTAACCTCAGGTCCACAGAACTCACCAAATCGGTAGTCATTGTAATCGAATAGTTCATCATCCTCATCATGGCCATGTCGGACTCTTCTAGTTTCCTGGTAATAACTTTCTCTATACATGTGCCTATCAATGTCATCAAAAAGCTCAGCCTTTTGCACTGACTTGTATCCATATCCGTGATCATGGCGTCGCTGCCACCCTTTGGCTAATGAGAGCCTCTGCAGATCATCTTGGTCATCATTGAATTCATGCCTAGAAAAACGGTCGTGATGATGGTTAGAGATGGTACTAAAGCGATGCACGCCATTTCTCAAAGCTGCTCTTTCAGCAGGTGAATAATCACGTCTTTCATAAACCTGATTGTGAACAGCATTGCGGCAATCATTACCAAGGAAAGTGGAGCTAGATCTTTTCTCTTCATGCTTTCTATCATACCTGCTAGCATAGCTATATGCTATTTTTTCTTCCTTCTCAAACGCATCATGCCTTACATAAGCTGAACCTTTCCGCTTCTGTTCTTTTCTTTCTTGATGCCCATATTTAAGGAGACGGTGATCACTTTGACGATTCATAAATACGCCACTGGACATGAAATCAGGTTCATCTGTCTTGTCATATCTATCATCAGCAGGAGAGGGGGTATAGCTATGACTGTCACCCTTGGCACTTTCTTGGTCTGATTTACTCGAATGGCGGCAAAAATCAGACTTGGCATACACATTCTTAAGCTTGGTGTCTGAACAAGTAGCCTTGGAATTTGGATATCTATTAGCTCTCTTAAAGTAGCAATCTTCTGTTGATTCTTCAGAAAGCATGTCAGAATAACGAGGACTAGAAAAATGGTCCCTTGTAGAAGCTGAATCTCTGGTATCCAATTTGCTCCCAGTACACTCTGAGGAACCTCCATTAAGCACTTCCTTAGGAACAACCTTGTCCACCAGATGGTTAGTGTCTTTCAAACATTTGACGCCGGGATCGTTAACCAATACTCTGCATTCACTGTGATTAAGAATACGGTCAGCTCAGCAATCATTTTGCGAAATACAAGTATAACCTTCTCAAAACAACAGGGACATGTAGTTCCGACTCTGCATACCTTTCAGTAGTCATGCACTTGTCATTTACTGTTGAGCTGTCATCAGAAGTGGAGTGATTTGAAGGCGAAAGCATCATGTTTACCTGTACAATCGGAATAACTTGTAATAAGATATAAATCAGGAGATATAGCAGCAACATATTAGACGCCTTGATGAAACATACTTGTATCACAACATCAGAATCCCTTTCTCTTGGACGCCACATATCTGCTGACGGAAGACGTTCAAACAGACCACCTTGAACATCGATAGCTCTACCCTTTGGCTAGATGTGCAGTATTAAGTTAGCTCTCATAGACTGAATATAATTCATGTACTGCTTCCACCACAAGAAAAGTTAACTTCATATTACCTTGGCAACGTCATTACTTCCTTCAAATCCAGAATAAATTGCTGACTTTGGCATTAGCTTACTAGATTCAAGATTGTGATGTGATTCCTGGATGCAAAGATATGTAAGAAAATTCTTAATAAGAACACAGACAAACCTTCAAGGCTGTTTCTCACCTGATCCATTCCTGACGATTTTTCTGCAAGTGATCTGGCTCCCTGTGTGAACTGTTTCTACAGGAAAAAAACAGTAAAGTTTCTCTATCACAATTTTTCAAATTATAAAGTCCCAACACAAATGTGAAGAAAAAATGGGTCATGAAACCTACCATGCCAAAACAATATTTTCTCCAACCTTCTTCATCCAGACCAAAATTGAAGTAATCAGTAAGATCTATACCATGCTGTCTCCAAGGCTTCTGCTGAAATGCTTCAATGTTTATGTCGAAAACCGTCCTGAAATAATAGAAGAATGGTCGAATAAGCAAGCAAGTGCAACTACATATCCTAATAATGATAGAAAGGCAGAACGAAAGACCAGCCAATTAGTTGCAGCTAACAAATAAGCAAGCAACGGTCATAAATAATCCAATGTCTAATCGCCAAACAAAGCCATAAATACTCGTATCGCTATCGCAACGAGAACATGAGTAGCAAAGTTCCGTGTTACACAATTCTATGGATTTTGTGCTAGAATGAGAGAAGGGAGCATACCTGTTTCTTGGCAAGAAAAAATAATAATCCTTCTGAAACGCATGCTGGTGACCTAGATCACCTTGTCCTGTGATTGCCACTGTTGTTTTGTCAAGAGGTCCCTTGTAGTGGAGGCCGTGAAGCTGGAAATCGCAATTACATGGAAAACCCCATCATTCATCCAAATTAGTTATATAATTCGTTTAATTTACAAAATAGCATTTCCAAGCTACTACTAATGTATCAGAAATCAGAACAACAGAATTTGGGATGCTAAACCATGGAGTGTACCGAGACCGGTACTGAAAAATCAGGAACTCTCAGCACGTCCCAATTAACTAGTAGAAGAGCAAAAATTAGCTATTGTTTCGACGAATTTGACACTAGCAAGTAGCGATCCCTCACAAATTCGCGAAGCATACCTTGCGCTGTCCGCCGTCCTTAGCAGATAGACTCTTCAAGAGGCTGGCCCGAAGCTCCCCCTCCTCGCTCTCCTCCGCCCACCCCTCCTCGCACCGGCCGGCAGAAGGAGGCGGCGGCGCGCAGCCGTCCTCGTTGAGCACGATGTGGAGGTCATCCTCACTCTCCTCGTCGCTGCTGCTGTAGCCCGCGAGCCCGTCCCCCAAATCCACAGCCTCGATGGCGTCGGCGTCGGCCTCGGCGTCGGTGGCCGGGTCGGAGTCCTTGGCGTTGGAGCCGCCGCTCTCCCCAGCCGCGGCCAGCGCGGCGGTCACCTGGTCGTCGAGGTCGGCGTAGAGATCGTCGACGTCGTCGTCGTTCGCCGGTGCTGTGGCGGCGTCCGCTGGGTCGGCCATGGAGGAGCACATGGGGGCACGAATGGCTGCTACTAACCGGAACCGCTAAGCCATTGGTGAGCCGTGCCGCAGGTTGCGCAAAAACCTTGGGAGAGGCTATCTCGCCTAAAACCCTAGCAACTAGATTCTCACGGGCCGATGATGGGACCAGCATACTGTAGCTTCCAGGGGTCTCTCCCGGCCCGCGACCGGTTAAGATTTTCTTCTTCTTGCTTGGGCCCTGGCCTAATATGAACGTCAGAGGGAAAAACATCAAGTGAGAGATCGCTGTCGCAAAACTTTTTTTTTGCGAGAAAGCTAGACTACCAGATTATCATGTCCGACAGTATGCATTGACTATACATCATTTACAGAAAATAAAAATGGCCGACAGTATGCACTTGGCCAAATTGTTGGCTTGTCGTACTTCGCCAGATGAGTATCAAATCTCTCTATTTCCCCGCAGAAAATAACAATGACTGCCAGTATGAACTGAAATACATCATTTACAGAAAATGTGCGCTGCACGTTACAATCGAAACTGGCTGTGTATTTTCTGTGTCCTACACTAGATTATCCCGACGCAACTATACTGGGGAATCCCTCTGTCCAAGTGTGAAAGGATCTTACAAACCCATTAGCCTCACATATGGATGGCGTGGGTCATGAAATGCTGGCACGCAATCGAAATAATTCCTGCAACCAAACTAGATGTCTGCCAGCTGTGTAAATTGGACACCGCTCTTGTTCTTCGAAGCTGAGTAGCCCACAAAGATAGACACGCAAACGGCCACCACTGAAAGGAGCAAGGCGAAGGCGGTCGCAGCATCCCAGGAACGGTTAGGGGCTGGGCGGTATCGAGCGGCTTCCAATGAAGGCTGTATGTCCAGAGTCACCCAGTCGCAGCTGGCTGAGTAATGCTGGGAGTTGCTCCATGGTTTGCCGTCAGTTGGGTACCAGAAAGCTACGGCCATACTGCTGGGCTCGCCTATTGTGAACTGCGCATCCTGCATAGCCAAAGAAACATTTAAGTGCCAAACAGATTTAGTGACCAAAAGGTATGTTTAATTATTTGAAAGGTGTTGTATAATCTTGAAGCGTGCAATTGAGACACATTAATCCCTGTGTGTGTCAGCTCGCAGGTTTGAAGTAGATCCACACAAACTGACCATCATCGTAAGAGGCTGTGCTTGAACTTGTGTTGCTGAAGATATGAACGTACCGTGCCAGTACAGATATTCGCCCAAGCATCTAAACAGTCTCCATTTAAGTGGGTTGTGTGTCCTAACTGTACCATGGCAATAACTTTGTCATACGGTGCATGTATCTTATAGTACAAACTAGACATTTCCGATAATCACCCAACCACGGGAATGTTGCATGCACACAGTTTCCTTAGCAAGGCTGGCAAATTGCAGATCTAGTTGTCGAAGGAACAGAAATACAATGATATGAATGTTTCTTGACACTATAACTTCATTTCTGCACATGTCCCTGGGTATGCTGGTTTTCATGTAATAGTGTGGAAAATAATGTAATAAAATAGTAGTAGATAAGACACCTGCTGAAACTGGTCCATTGTTCTTAGGGGCCTTGAGAACTCAAAGTAATATGTGCCTTTGTCATCTTTCTTTCCATAAGGACTGTCATCATCCACAAAACCTGAAGAGTTCACATGATAGTAAAATGATTTAGTTCTACTTGGGCGGATTTGCCTTTTAATCAAGTTCACGCTATCGAAGGTCCCAAAAAAGTCGAATGTTCCAGAGATAATGTTTCACATGCTGTCAATTGAAACTCATTAAGTAGCATGCAAATTAGCGGGCAGAGGATGCGGGCATTAAGAACATGAGAACATGTCCTCCTTGTGTACTTATTTGCTTCTGCACAGACGTGCATTTCTTAGCTTCTCCAAGAAACCATGTGGTAAAGAATGCATGATTAGATATCATGAGATCAAGGATAAAATGTGAATGTAGTGATGATGTTCAATGACCTACCTGAATGGAAGGTCAGGGAACTGTGCCACCAAGCCCCATGCCAATCATTTTGAGCATTTGAATTGTTTTCTGAAATGCAAACCATTATGCAAGGTTGTCACAGAATGTCAATGCACACAAAAAATGAAAATGCATGTAATAACATTAAATAATTTTTCAAATAAAAAGTATGAGAATTTCTTTGTGTCAAATAGCAGAGTACCTTTAGGGCCTATACCATCAAGGTAGCGGCAATGGGGATTCCATGAATAGACATCAACAAGATGGCCAAATCTGCACGAATCAAGTATTTCAACAACAAATCTTCACATCCTACTAAGCATAACTATACAACCACCATGAGAGCACATTAGAATTACCTATCACCTCCTTTTCCAGCTGCATTATCTATGTGATTGCCACCATAAAGACGTCCAGGAATAGCATTTCCAACTGAAAAGTGCATAATGTCGACCTCATGATCTCTGCAACTTTTTCTCGTACATGAACCAGGCAAATCCTTGCACCCTCCCATCTAAAAAGGCAAATAGCTCCAAGTTTGAGATATATGGTTTAATAATAGATCAAAAAAGGTAAAACAACATTATCCATATATGCTCAATAGGCGCTTCTCCAGTACATAGTACAGGAAGAAATAAAGCTAACTTGTTATGACCGGGGTAACTTATACCCGGAGGAGGCCCACTGGACGCGTTTAGTTAGGGGCTTAGCCCAAAAGTTATCTTATTTTTATTAGCATTGTGATTATATAAACAGCTGTAAAGACTCTTTTAGAAATCAAGCAATGAGACAATTCTATTGCCCGGCTCCCTGAGGAGCCGGAAACCCTAAACCCTAGCCGCCCCATGTCATCGCCGCCGCCTCCTCTCACACGCACGACGGCGCCCAGCCGCCGGCCGCCGCGTGTTCGTCCACGTCCAACTCCCTCCTTCCCATACAACCTCCGGCCTAGACCCGGTAGAACCCTAGTTCCTACCACTTTGGTATCAGCTAGCTCGGTTGCGATCATGTCTTTGCCGCCGCCCACCCCAACCCTCCCGCTGCCCACCGCCACCACCGCCCCGCTGTCCACGACGGCCAGCGCGCCTCCACCGCCGCCGCGCCGGTCGCCGCCGTCTTCACTTCGGAGGAGGTCACCGGAGCACTCCGCGATCTCGCCACCGCCACCGGGCCCCTTCTCCTGCCATGGCAGCCACCGCACCCGGGGGCCTCCGCGGCGCTGGTCGGGCCGCTGCAGCCCCAGCTGCAGCTGCAGCCACCCACCACCACCACCCCGCTGTGGCCGCCGTGGCCGTCACCGGCCATCGCGGCTCCCGCAGCGTCCGTCGCCCTCACGCAGCCGCAGCTGCAGGCGCCACCGCCGCCCAGCACCGGGCCCGCTACGACCGCGCCAGCGGGCGTTCCGATCCAGCAGGTTCGGTTCCCGCCCTCGCCGTCCCAGCTTCCGGCCTGGCTGGCCGGGTCATCACCGCAGCCGGTCTACACTATGGCCGCGGAACAGCCGGCGCCCACCCTGCCCTACGGCGGGCCCTCCGGCTCCACGGGTTCCCACGCTGGCTTCGACGGGCCACCGTTTCACAAGGGACCCCCTGTGCACACCGGGCCGGCGCCATCCTCTTCGTTGCTCCGTACCGCCGAGCCGTACGCTCACGGCGGTCAGACTCAGACACCGCCGCGTTTCGCCAAGCTCGACTTCGCCACCTGCGACGGCACCGAGGAACCCCTCAACTGGCTCAACCAGTGTGAGCAATTCTTCCAAGGGCAACGCACGCTCGCGTTGGACCGGACTTGCTCGCCTCCTATCGCCTCCGGGGCGCCGCACAGACGTGGTACTATGCCCTCGAGCAGGACGAGGGCGGCATGCCCCCATGGAGCGCTTTCGCGAGCTATGCCTCCTTCGCTTCGGGCCGCCGATACGCGGGAGCCGGCTGGCGGAACTCGGCCGCCTCCCCTTCACCTCCACAGTGCAGGACTTCGCCGACCGTTTCCAGGCCCTGGCGTGCCACGCACCGGGCGTGACGGCTCAGCAGCGGGCCGAGCTCTTCGTCGGCGGTCTGCCGGATCACATCCGCGTGGACGTGGAGCTTCGGGGACCCCAGGACCTCCAGACGGCCATGTACTACGTCCGCGCCTTCGAGTGTCGCGTGCAGGCCTTGCAGCAGGCGACGCCGGCTCGGGGTGGCCGACAGCCCGCCAGGCTGCCTCCGACACCACCTGTGCCGGGCCAGCTGCCCCCGGCCGCTCCAACGACTACCACTCCGGCTACGACGCGGCCCTTCCGCCGGCTCTTTCCGGCTGAGCAGCTCGAGCGATGTCGCCAGGGGCTTTGCTATAACTGCGATAAGCCCTATGTGTCGGGCCACGTCTGCCCGCGCCTCTTCTACTTGGAGGTGGCCGACTATGTCGAGGAGGACACACCCGCCGACGGTCCGCCACCAATTGCTGCGGAGGCCGCCCCCGCGCCCACTCCGGCGACGGCGCTCGTGGTCTCGCTCCAGGCGCTTGCCGGCATTCGCGACAAGCAGACTATGCTTTTGCCGGTGATGATTCACGGCGAGCGCCTGGTGGCCCTCCTGGATACGGGCTCCACGCATAACTTCCTGCCCGAGGCAACCATGCGTCGCTTAGCGCTGCAGCTGACGGGCGGGGAGCAACTTCGGGTCACGGTGGCTAACGGCGACCGCCTTCGGTGCCATGGGCTGGCGCGGAACATGCCCATCACCATCGGCGACGAGTACATCACCATCACGTGCGTCGGCATCGACTTGGGTTGCTTCGACTTCATCCTCGGCGTCGACTTCTTGCGGACCCTCGGTCCCATCCTCTGGGACTTCGGTGCCCTGACGATGACCTTCTGGCGCCTGGGTCGCCGCGTCCGGTGGGAGGGCGTGGGTGGCGCCTCACCAGCGATGCAGCTGGCCGTGACCGCCGCCGAACCCGAGCACCCACTGTTGGATCACCTCCTGCAGCAGCACCGCGACCTCTTCCACGAGCCGCGGGGCCTTCCGCCAGCCCGGGTGTATGATCACCGCATTCATCTCTTGCCGGGCACAGCGCCGGTTGCAGTGCGCCCCTACCGCTATCCCCAGTTGCAGAAGGACGAGCTGGAGCAGCAGTGGACGCTCATGCTAACCTTGGGCATCATCCGGATCTCCACGTCGCCGTTTTCGGCGCGGGTCCTCGTCCGCAAGTCGGACGGCATGTGGCGCTTCTGCATCAACTACCGCGCCCTTAACGCCCAGACACTCAAGGACAGGTTTCCTATCCCAGTGGTCGATGAGCTCCTGGACGAGCTACATGGGGTGCGCTTCTTCACCAAGCTCGACCTCCGATCGGGCTACCACCAGGTGCGGATGCACCTAGACGATGTCGCCAAGACGGCGTTTCGGACTCTCACGGCCACTTCGAGTTCTTGGTGATGCCTTTTGGCCTCTGCAACGCCCCAGCGACCTTTCAGGCTTTGATGAACGACGTCCTCCGCCCCTACTTGCATCGGTTTGTGCTCGTTTTCTTTGATGACATTCTTATCTACAGCGCCTCGTGGGCAGAGCACCTTCAGCACGTCGCCATCGTCTTCAACGAGCTTTGAGCGCACCATCTTCATCTTAAGCGCTCGAAGTGCTCGTTCGGGACGCCTTCAGTCGCCTAACTCGGCCACGTCATCTCGGCCAAGGGGGTTGCTATGGACGCCGACAAGGTGGCGGCCGTCGTGGCCTGGCCGACACCGCACTCACCGCAAGCTCTCCGCGGCTTCCTGGGCCTCGCGGGGTACTACCGGAAATTTATCTGGGAGTTCGGCCTCATCGCGTCCCCGCTCACGCGCCTGCTGCGTCGCGACGCCTTTGCTTGGGATGCAGAGGCGACAGAGGCGTTCGAGGCTCTCAAGGGGGCCCTCACGACGGGTCCCGTCATCCAGATGCCTGACTTCGACCGCCCGTTCGTCGTGGACTGCGACGCCTCCGGTGTGGGGTTCGGCGCCGTCCTTCATCAGGGCGACGGACCGCTCGCGTTCTTCAGCAGGCCTTTCGCCGCGCGCCATCTTAAGCTCGCGGCTTATGAGAGGGAGCCCATTGACTTGGTGCAGGCCGTGCGCCACTGGCGGCCCTATCTTTGGGGCCGGTCATTCCGATTTGCACGGATAACTACAGCCTCAGGTTCTTATTGGACCAGAGGCTGTCTACCATGCCGCAACACCAGTGGATCAGTAAGCTCTTTTGGCTTCGACTTCACCGTCGAGTATCGTCCGGGCCGCCTTAACACCGTGGCCGACGCCCTGTCCCGCCGCGACGCCAACCACCACGCAGTCGTCGGTGACTCCGATGGGCCGGCGCTCTGCATCCGCTCGAGGCCCTCCTTCGCCCTCTTCACCGACATCCGCAGGGCCACCGCGGACGCGCCGGACGCTCAGCTCCTTCGGCAGCGCCTTCATGCCAGCGACCTGGAGGAGCCGTGGCGCCTGGCGGATGGCTTGCTCCTGCATGGGCGCCGTCTCTTCATGCCGAACTACGGCGTCCTCCGTCACTAGGTTCTGCTGCTGGCCCACTCGGCCGGCCACGAGGGTGTGCAGAAGACCCTCCACCGTCTCCGCGCCGACTTCTACATCCCCGGTGATCGGGCCCTGGTCCGAGACTAGGTGCGGTCTTGTGTGACGTGCCAGCGCAACAAGACGGAGACACTGCGGCCGGCTGGTCTGCTACAGCCCTTGGAGGTGCCCTCTCAGATTTGGGCTGATATCTCCATGGACTACATTGAAGGCCTCCCCAAGGTGGGCGGCAAGTCCGTCATCCTCACGGTGGTCGACCGCTTCTCCAAGTACGCGCACTTCATCGCGCTCGGCCATCCCTACACTGCCGCATCTGTGGGTCGTGCCTTCTTCGACGACATCGTCCGCCTCCACAGGTTTCCCTCTTCGATCATCGGCGACCGGGACCCGGTGTTCACGGGGCATGTTTGGCGCGATCTCTTCCGGATGGCGGGCGTGAAGCTCCGCCTGAGCACGGCCTTCCATCTTCAGACGGACGGCCAATCCGAGGTGGTCAATAAGGTGATTGCCATGTATTTGCGTTGTGTCACCGGTGATCGTCCTCGCGCTTGGGTGGACTGGCTCGCATGGGCGGAGTACTGCTACAACACGTCTTATCACTCCGCCCTGCGCGCAATGCCATTCGAGGTGGTCTACGGCCGACCGCCCCCGCCCATCCTGCCGGTTGACCCAAAGACGGCTCGGACGGAGGCGGCGGGCGACCTTCTTCGCAGCCGAGACAAGATGCTTGCGGAGGTGCGGCAACACCTCATTCAAGCCCAGCAGCTGGCCAAGCACTACTACTACGGCCACCACCGCGAGGCGGAGTTCGTGGTGGGCGACTGGGTGTGGCTGCGCCTTCTTCACCGCTCTACGCAGTCACTTGACCCGCGCGCGAAGCGCAAGCTGGGCCCTCGCTACGCCGGGCCATTTTCTGTGCTGGAGCACATCGGAAAGGTAGCCTACCGTCTTCAGCTTCCAGCCGGTGCTCGCATCCATGACGTCTTCCATGTGGGGCTGCTGAAGCCCTTCCATGGGGAGCCACCGGCGGCCACGCCAGCGCTTCCTCCGACCTCCGACGGCCGCCTCCTTCCCTGGCCAGCGAAGGTATTGCAGGCCCAGCTACGTCGCGGGGTGTGGTACTTGTTGATCCAGTGGGACGGCCTTCCGGAGGAGGAGGCCACTTGGGAGCAGCGCGACGAGTTCCGCCAACACTACCCAGACTTCCAGCTCGAGGGCGAGCTGTTTGCGCAGGCGGGGAGAGATGTTATGACCGGGGTAACTTATACCCGGAGGAGGCCCACTGGACAGGTTTAGTTAGGGGCTTAGCCCAAAAGTTATCTTATTTTTATTAGCATCGTGATTATATAAACAGTTGTAAAGACTCTTTTAGAAATCAAGCAACAAGACAATTCTATTGCCCGGCTCCCCGAGGAGCCGGAACCCTAAACCCTAGCCGCCTCCTATCATCGCCGTCGCCTCCTCTCACACGCACGACGGCGCCCAGCCGCCGGCCGCCGCGTGTTCGTCCATGTCCAACTCCCTCCTTCCCGTACAACCTCCGGCCTAGACCCGGTAGAACCCTAGTTCCTACCAATAACTAGTTTTAACATTCAGCAGCACTAAACTGACACATATAGTTAGCATTTAGCACCGTGACTTGAGAGTTGGGAATAAAGGGGCTTAAATCAAACTTACATTGTAATATGTGGCTTTTTCTCCAACTTGGAACATCAGAGCAACAGAGGGGCACTTTTTACTTTCACTGCAATATACAAAACAAGTCAATCAAAAGCACAGGATACTTGCTGCAGACCTGTATAGCTGAGAAGTAATGGTACAAGGCTAACATGCATACACTGAGAATATAATTGTTTTCTCCAATCATAAGATCAAAAAACAATCTCAAATAAATCAGACCACCATCAGGCTTTTTACGAAGATAAGGTCATAAGAGAAAATATCATGCAATAGCCAAGTAATACAACTAACTGAGGTTCATGTATAATCTCCCAGCCTCCATAACTGTCATGGCTACAATTGAAGTAGAACAATTTAGCAAGAAATTGATGCTCCAAGCAAAAGGAAAAGAAAGAGATAAGCTTTGCAGTTTTGCTGGGAGAGTTTGTGCATCAAACTTCAAATCAGTAGAGCTGTCCAATGTCTCCAACCAAATTTGGCACACCTCAGAACTAAAAGAATGACCATAAAAGGCAATACAACTTCCACTAGCTGTATCATGCAAACCAATAAAAGTGTACCAAATAAAAAGTGGAAGTACCCTTTAGTGTAAGCATAGTCCCCATCAACTTGCAGCATGAAGAAAACATTGACGCCATCATGCACAGCCTGCACACACAGTCCATTCCATCCAAAAGTTAAACAAAGCCACCACTTGCGAGAGATCACACATACGGAATGCCTCTTCCACTGCAAACGCACTACACATCTAATCCAGACAGCTACAAGCCTACAACCTCAGTCCGGAATTAACTGTCGATGAAATGAGCACTCGTGTCATCGACAGTTAATTCCAGACGGAGTACTACAAATGACACTGTGCACCTTATTCGACAGTACACGCCAAACGCTGTCGCATAGCATCGAAGTTCAGGCATCCACTAGTCATCATTTCAGCAACTGAGGCAGCTAATATTTTTACGATCCACCTTGTTTCTCGAGATCCACAAATTCCCGTACGGGGAGCTATAGAGAGAGAGCATGGCGGGACACAGGGGGCGAACCTTGACGGCGACCTTGCCACCGGTGTAGGCCTTGTCGTCGTCGGGGTCCAGCGCCGGGAGCAACGCGAACTCCGAGGCCTCAACGGCCTCCCAGTCGGCGGGGTGCCCGTCCAGGGTCACCTCCCCGGGACGGAACTCCGCGACCACGCGACCACCGCCGCCGGCGCAAATGGGAGCTTCGCCGTGGTGCTCGTGCGCGGCGGCGCAGGCCACCAGGGCCGCCGCGACAAGGAGGAGTCTCATGAAGGCACAAGGGCGGATCGAGGCGTCGTGGTGGACGCCCGGGGCACGTGCGTTCCCGGGACGGCGAGAAGCTCGAGGTTGGTTTGTTCGGGCTGGTCCACGCGGCGGCGGCGGCGGCGGCGTAGAGAAGGCGCCTCCGACTCGCCGGCTTGGTTCGGGAGCGTGGAATTTTGCGTCCTCCGTGACCTGCCTGAATTGACGGGAATGTCCCTGGGGAGGTGTCTTTTGCGCGCGGCGGGTGGAAGATCGGCGGAATGGGAGAGGGGCATTGGGGGATTTCACGGCGTCGACCGGAGACGCGAGATCTGGCCGTTTAAGGATAGGAATTTTACATGAATATGAAAATCATAGGAAGTGAGATAATATGTATGTCAATTTCTATAAAGAAAGAGATGTCATTTGGTGTATAGGATAGAATTTTTTTTTTCATTGAGTCTAGGCTAGAGGAATTTTGTAGGATTTTCATAGGATAGGATTTTTATAGGAAAAATTTCTTTAGAGCTCTTTGGTTTGTAGGAATGAAATCCTATTCCTGTGGAGAAATTCTTCCTATCCTTCACATTTCATAGGAAAATAAACATTAGTCTAGACTCAATGGAAAAAAATCATATGATGTAAATCAAAGGGCATCTCCTTTTCTATTCCTATGCATAGGATTTGAGATGTATGTCATCTTATTTCCTATGACTTTCCTATTCCTATAATTTTTTAATCCTATGAACCAAAGGAGGCCTAATGTTTTTTTTCCTCCAAAACATGAAGGATTGATTCCTATCCTACATAGGAATAAGAATCCATTCCTACAAACCAAAGGGCTTCAAAAGAATTTTTCCTTTGCAAATCCTATCCTATAGAATTCCTACAAAAATCCTACAAAACAAAGGGGAGGCTACCGGTTTGGGGTGTGTTTGGTTGTGGAAAGAAGTGGAATGAAATGTCATGACATTTTATTTCACTAGAATGGGTCGATTTCATTTTTATGTTTGGTTGAGGTAATAGATGGAATGGAATGATTACATCCGAGTGTTTGGTTGGTGAGACACAATAAAACGAATTTGGTCATTTTGATAACATTTATACACAAGCATGACAGATACTGAGATACATAAAATCAAACATATCATATGACTATTTCTCTTGCACCAATACATTTCTACAAACAAAAAGAAGCAATTTACACAGAAGAACCAAGAATATATGGAAGCTACGATCTGCTACCGCGATGCATATCATCGCTAACTCAAGAAGGAGCAATCTATAGAGAAGATGCTACGGCAACCCCCAACAGGCCTAGTTGCCGCAGCCCCCAGCAGACCAGGCCGCCGGTGCCACCGCCCCCTCCCCCCGCGCAGATCAGGCCGCCACCGGAACGGATCCTAGGAACGCCGCCGTTGCCGCCGGAACAGGCCATCGGCCTCTAGTGGCTCGGCCGCCGCACCCGCTCCTCTTCAGATCGAGACATGGAGGGACGGGGAGGGAGAGGAGACGAAAGATGGAGAGGCGAGGATTTGTCGGGAGTGACGGGCTAGAGCGAGACCCAGGACCGGTTCCGCATGATTCCTCCGGTTTGGAGGTATCGGCGCGTTCCGGATATGGGCCGAATATTCCCTCCGCGGGAACGAGTTGGTTCCTGGTCCGCTTACGTACCAAACGCGGGAATGAGGCCTCGGAACAGGTCCAACCAATGACATTCTAGTTGATGACAGAAACCAAACACACCCATAGTTGGAAGGTAAAACCCGAAAGTGTTCTTCTCCTCATGAGCTTCAATGCATCCGCCTCTCTTTTTTTTGGGGGGGGGGGGAATGCATCTACCATTTGAACGGTATAAGAGCAACTCCAACTGGACGACCCAAACGAACATGCGGTTGTCCGCTTTTCGTCCGTTTGGGTCGGCCAGGCGGACGGGCGCGTCCGCTTTTACATATGAATCGGCTCGAGCGTCCAACGGAAGACCAACCAAAATTTACGCGCGTAAAAAAATGATACACACGCGACACGGATAACCCTAATACGAACTCAAATTATCATAATGGCCGGTCAACCGACGGCCAAAGTCTACTTAAAACTTAATTAAACATTAATAAAAGGCGGCTTGATAGGCCACTAGGGTTGCCTCCTCCGGCGCCTGCTACGATGGAGGCAATGCGGCGACGTGGACGCACTTCTCCTCCTTCCGCTCCCTCTGCATGCGCAATGCGGCAATGCGGAGTTTTCTAATCGATGCCACTGAGATGAGTCAAAAGTGTGTAATGGTTGGATTTTGTGTGGAGGCTATATATACCCCTCCACCCTTCTTCTTCATTGAGGAGATCCATCAGAACGTGCCTACACTTTCACCATTCATTTTCTGAGAGAGAACCACCTATTCGTGTGTTGAGATCAAGAGATTCCATTCCAACCATTTGAACCTTGATTTCTAGCATTCCCCAAGTTGCTTTCCACTCAAATCCCTCTTCCACCATAGCCAAATATGTGAGAGAGAGTTGAGTGTTCGGGAGACTATCATTTGAAGCACAAGAGCAAGGAGTTCATCATCTACACACCATATATTGCCTTTTAAAGAGTGGTGTCTCCTAGATTGGTTAGGTGTTGCTTGGGAGCCTCCGTCATGACGTGGAGTTGAACCAAGAAGTTTGTAAGGGCAAGGAGATCGCCTACTTCGTGATGTCTACCCGAGTGAGGCAAGTCCTTCGTGGACGATGGCCATGGTGGGATAGACAAGGTTGCTTCTTCGTGGACCCTTCATGGGTGGAGCTCGCCGTGGACCCGCGCAATTGTTACCCTTCGTGGGTTGAAGTCTCCATCAACGTGGGCATACGATAGCACCACCTATCGAAACCACGCCAAAAATCTTCGTGTCTCCATTGCGTTTGCCTTCTCCAATCCCTTCCCTTTACCTTCATATGCAATGTTTTACATTCTGCTGCTATACTCCTAGAATTGCATGTGTAGATTGATTACTTGGCTTGTGATAATTGCTAAAATCTGTCCACAACTAAAATTAGGAAAAGGATAGATTTTTATTTGGTCAAATAGTCTACCCCCCCCTCTAAACATACTTTCAATCCTACAAATGGTATCAGAGCTTTGGTCTCCATTAGCCTTGATTTCCATAGCTTTGGTGATAATAGGCTTGGTTTCACAACCTAGGAGAGTATGACGTCTAGCGAGGGTAACTATCACCATGGAGGTCCTTACTTTGATGGTACAGATTTTGCCAGTTGGAAGCATAAGGTGAAAATGCATATTCTTGGTCATAACCCCGATGTTTGGGTTGTTGTGTGTGTTGGCTTGCAAGGTGAATTCTTCGGAGATGGTAAAGAACCAGATCGTGAAGCGACCGCGAAAGAATTGAGGATGTTGCAATACAATGCTCAAGCTTGTGATATTATCTTCAATGGATTGTGCCCCGAAGAATTCAATAAAATCAGTCGCCTTGAGAACACAAAGAAAATTTGGGATACTTTGGTTGATATGCACGAAGGTACCAAGTCCGTTAAGGAATCCAAGTTGGATGTGCTTCAAAGTCAACTCGGCAAGTTCAAGATGAAGGATGGTGAAGGAGACACCGAAATGTACTCTAAGTTTGCTCTCATCATAAATGAGATTGCCGACTTAGGAAGTGAAGAGATGACCGACAAAATTCATCATCCAGAAGATCCTTAGAGCCTTGGATGGAAAATATGATACCATGTGCACATCAATCCAAATGATGCCCAATTACAAAGATCTAAAGCCCACGGAAGTCATTGTTAGAATTGTTGCTCATGAGATGTCACTCAAGGATAAGGAAGAGCTTCACAATAAGTCAAGTGGTGCTTACAAAGCTTCAAGTGATGCTCCTACAACATCAAGTGATAAGCAAGTCTCCAATGAAGAATTAAGCTTAATGATGAAGAACTTCAACAAATTCTACAAGAGTAGAAGCAAAGAGAGAAGCTCCAAGTCAAGGTCCTACAATGACAAAATATCTTCTAGTCGTGATCATAATTGCTATAATTGTGGAAGACCCGGACACTATTCTAATGAGTGCATGGCTCCCTACAAGAAAAGAGAAGACTCACCAAAAAGGAGAAGTAGAAGAGATGAATCACCTCCAAGAGAGAGAAGTAGAGATGATCGTTATGAACAAAGACCCTCTCATAGAAGCAAGGATTCGGAAAGTAAGGACAAGTCATCAAAGAGCTACACAAGATGAAGACACCAAGCTCATGTTGGTGAATGGATGTCCGGTTCCGACTCCAACAATTACTCCTAGAGAAGCTATCACTCCGACTGCGACTATACTCAAGATGAAGGTGTTGCCAGTCTTGCACTAGTGTCATCCAACTCGTATGACATATTTTATTCGCCAAATGAAGGAATTGGAAGATGCTTCATGGCTAAAGGCCCCAAGGTAACACACCCCGAGTATCTTGATTTTGACAGTGATGAAGATGATTTGCTAGGTGATGATGATTTACTTGTTGACAAATCTAGTGATAAAAAATGTGGTGAACTTGCTAGTAATCATGCTAATCAAGATGAAAGGAATGACAATGATAAGAAGGAAATTGAGTGACTAACTAAAGAACTAAACACTCTTAAGTTAGCTCATGAAACAACTCTAGAGGATCATAGAGAGCTCCTAAGGACTCATGAGAAGCTACGCTTCGAGAAGCTAAATTTAGAGCAAGAGCATGAGTTCCTAAAAGCTATCAATGATGATCTTCGAAAGAAGAGTTCTTCTTACATTGCCAAACATCTCCTCTTGGCTACTTATATGCCACAACTAAAGTCTAGCAACAAGAGCAAGAAAGATTCTTCTTTTAGTAGTAATAATAACCATGCTAGATCTAGTATTGTTGCTTCTAGTAGTTCTATTGATTCCACTAATGATTCTCTTAGCCAAGTTACACTTGAGCAAGAAAATAGCTTATTGAAGGAAATTATAGAGAAAGGTGTTTACAAGAGCCTTGTCGGGAGTAAGCAATTTGAGGAAATTGTACGCAAGCAAG